CCTAGGCCCCATTTTTCGGCCTCCGTCGACATTTTCCGGCCAAAAACGACATTTTCGATCTCACGGGACCGTTTAGAGCCGTTGGAGCCGTCGGAAACCTTATTTTGCGGCGATTTCACCTCCGCCACCCATTTTTCATGGACTATTCTCTCTTGGAGCTTAGACACGACTCATTGCCCAATTTTTCTTACTCTTGATGCCGAGATCATCGTTTTATAAGGTACTTCACTTAGACCTACTTGTTCATGTGTATCTTTATCGGGCGTGATTTTATTGAGTTGGGGGTGATATATATTAAGTGTAGGGGAGGTACCTCGGGGGTTTGTGAGCTTATATTAAAAATTTGGAGGGGTGACGTAGTTGTTTTTCGGTGTTGAGGTCGGTTTGGAGATTTAGTTGATTGTGTAGGAATGTGGTGTGGTGGCATGTGGTTTTGGGATCTTCTTATGATATTGGGAGTGCGGTTGAGTTGTGGTCGTATGTTGATTTAAGAGGGGCGGAGGCCCGAATTTTGATCTTTTACGATATGTGTTGTCTTCGTCGAGTTTGTGGATTCCGGGTTATTATCTCTCCGAGATGCATTCATGTGGCCTTTATTCGGAGCCGCCGGACGGGACCCTCTTGTACTTTGCATGTCATAGTGCTCAGTTGGCTTATGGATGATATGCTTTTATTGTTCACTTGTTCGGATGGCTTTATTTTGCACTCGAAGACTTTCGGATCATTTCTCGTTATTCCCACCAGACGAACACCATTGGACACATGGTGGTACACCACCGTGTAGAGTATGCATTTTTTTTCCTATTTTCTTTTCTTTAGTTGTTTATTGTGTGTCTCTGTGTTTGTCTTCTTGTCATATTTTTGTTTATTATGTTTTGTTTTCATTTTTATCGCATGAAATTACATGATTATGTGCTCTCTCTTATGCTTTTTGGTCAAACAATGGGGACATTGCTTTGATTTAAGTGTGGGGGAGGGATTTTCGTGATTATGCATGTTTAGGTGATATTCTCTTCGTTTTTGGTGCTATATTTTTTGTATTTGTTGTGTCGCGGACTAGTTTTGTTTGAGTTTTTGTGTGTTTGTGTCACCTCTCCCGCATGATGCTCTATGTTTGTTCGAGAGTCGAGATTGTTGATTGGTTTCACTATTAGCGTTCATGCTTTATGTACTTGATGAATTGGACGGTTTCCTTAAAGTTAAATGATGATTCGTTGACATTGGAACCCGCATGTGGATTCACGGAATTGTTTTGTCCCTTGTTTGTTCTCGATTGATTGTCTTGAGGCATGCTTTCTTTATGTTCGATTATCGTTGTAAACGTGTTATCTATGCACTTGTGGTACGTCTTGATGATTATTGATGTTCATGTTATTATATTCATGATGTATTCTTGTGTGCCACTCCCTTTGAAAAAAAATAAATAAATAAAACAATGTGAGTTCGCGAGGAAGTACGAATTAGGCTCCTCTTATTCCGATTCACTCATGGATTGGGATAATGAGCCCGGGAAACCGGTTTAAGAAACTCGAGGAAACCCCTCGAGGTTAAACCTAGATCATCTCGTCCGGAAACCTCGTTTGGAAAGAGAAGCTCACGAAAATGAGTTCGTGAGAGTTGAGAGGATTAGGCTCCTCTTGACTCGGTTAGTCTTCTAGATAAATCAGGTCAATGAGCACGGAAAACCGGCCTAGGAAACTCGAGGACAAACCCCGAGATTAAACCTAGGTAATAATCATCCTAACGACTCTCATTTGGAAAAAAATAGTTCATAAAAAAAAAGAAAGAAGAAAAAAAAAAGGAAAAGAAGAAAAAAATGGGGAGTTGGCTTATTGGTCTCGTGCTTATTCATTTCATATTTGGTAGACCATTTATAGTTTTTACACGTGTATGTAGACGAGGGAATGTCAATCGAGTGATCATGTGTAGAATAACTTGGGACGGGTTTTTGTTTTGTTGGATTCGCTATGTGGGGACAGTGTTTTCGGATTGGATTTTGATTTTAGGGATAACCGGATGATAATGAGAGTTTTATTTCGCATGCTCGTTAATTTTGGACCGTTCGATTTTTCTTTTCGAGCTACTTGTTGTTTTGTTTGCTTGAGGACAAGCAAAGAGTTAAGTGTGGGGGACTTGTTTATTGTGTTTTTGTGTTTATTTTTGTGTGTTTTATGTGCTCGAGTTTAGTGTTTTTAGGTTCATTTTAATGTCGACCGGTCCATTTTATCGTGTTTCGTGCATTTTTATTTTCGTATTGTATTTTTGTTGATCGGCGTAATTTCTTGTCTTTTTTGTGTTGAATAGGTCCATCATTACTATGCTTGGGGAAACGAGCCATTTCCGAGATATGTATGAGCCACGCGAACCATTTCCGAGTCGTTTCGAGCATACTAATTAAGTGCGTGGTGATCTCAATTTGCGCATCTCAAGATGAGGAGATCGAGATTTAGGAAGCGTGGGTCAAAGTTTCAAGTCAATCGGATAAGTGTACGAAAAATTAGAGATTTTTAAAGACGAGCCATAGCCATCGGACCATGACCGAGCTTGACCCGCGCACATG